CCTTGACATGCTTTCTTCGATGCGTCTCCCTCTTGGCCGACTTTTTTTTCTCTGGGATTCTTATCCCGAGGTTCTTCATTACAGTTGTCCTCCTCAACGTTAGGATCGGCGTTTTTACCACTCTCACTAAGGATGTTGTCCCCAATCTTTTCTTTCTGCCTATCATTGGCCATCAATTCTCCTTACATTTTTCACAAACAGCGCCAAATTGTGGGTGTTGATTTCTGAACACACTGTCAAACAGGAACTCAGCAGGAGAGCAAAGGCAAAATAGATCACGCCCAAACAACCTGTCACAGAAAGATAAGACTCTGACGGTGGTTCGTCCATTCGGGGGCACTCCGACGATCAAGTCAGTACTCAGTTATCTCTCAAAGATAGTAAATAGTGCTTAACTCACTAGCCAGAATATTAAGCGTACCTTAGACCCACAAGGGTGCCCTACTTTTATAGCTAGCACTAACCCGATCCCTGTAGAAGCCTAGCTCCAATGGACTTTGGCTCAATGCTCATCTTGGACTCCTAGCTAGATAAAGATAAACTCCCTAAGAGCTTTATCTTTATCCATACTAAGATCATCCCCAGTTCTAGGACTCTTGTCCCTTATCCGCTCATCCCGGATTTCGATATCTCTGCGGATAACCTCAGTTTAGCCAAGGTCTCACTTCGGCGTCATGACTAAGACACGTGGCACCTTGGCTGACACTTCAGCATCACCTTGGCCACGTGTTGTCATTCAAAAAATATGTCCCCACAAATAGTAATTATGGACTTAGTTTAACATTGGTAAATTTGTTCTAAAAGGTCAATATTCGATTTGTCATAGGACTTTTAATTTGTAAATAATAGAGAATTTCTTTAAGAGTTTTCTCCACCTCTATTCTTATTTTTCTCACATCCATACAAATCAAAAGAATTATAGAAGTGGTAGTGAGTGATCTTATTGCTGCAAATTATGCTTTTACATTTTTTTCACTATATTAAAGATTAATTTTGTTAAGAGAAGCTTAAAAGAATTATACATCTAGCATGAAATGAGTGTAATAAAAAAATATAAAATCTTTTCAAGCTTATAATAAATTTAAAAAATCATACATTTTATAACAAAGTCACATTAAGAAATTTTTATTTATTTATTTTTTTCAAGTTGCAAACACAACCTCAAATGAATAGAGGCACTATATTATCATTGGACTGTTGATAAAAGTTCATGAATTCTATACATGGGGCAAATTAAACTTGATTCCTTACCATCAAATACATTTCAAACATTATGTGGTCAGGTAGTTGGGCTTCATTGACATGACAAGACGTATTATTAAACATTGTCTTCCAAAGCTTCAAGAAGAGAAATGTCAATATATGGTCACTTCATGCGTAAAATATCTCAATTATTGATTCAAAATTAACTTTGTTTACAAGTCTTCTTTCCACTCAATACTTTAAAGGTTACATAATTAGATATATTGAAAATGTTTTCACTAAGATGCTGTGATCGCCTTGTAAAAGAACGTTGTTTTGATTGGAGTCTATATGTATCTTTGTCCATGTTATTATCCCTTTCGAATTGTTATGTTTGTCTAGTAATAAATAGATGGTATTCCCAACCTCTCACAAGACTAGTCTACCTCATTATTCTCAAGATGACATTAGTATAGTCAAAATTAGACTGGTCTCCCTTGATTTGAGTTGTTCTAGTCGGTAAGTTTGCATTTTTCTGTTTTTTGTGATTCCAAAAGAGTTTAATAGTAGCATGTTGGCTTTTGGATTGCACGCAGCAGTCTGGCCCATGGGCTCACCACGATTCTTATTTCAATAAATTGAATTAAACCATTTATTTTGTAAGATACAAATTATTTATGAAAAAATTAAATATATTATCATCTTTGTGCATAAGCACAGGCGGGCCACCATTGACAAGCAAAGAACAAGATTAAAAATTGTTTGTAGTGACACATAAATTTGAGTGTTGGGTGGAATCAAACTGTAATTTGACAAGAACGAAAAAGATATGGACTCAGAAAATTGGGCTGGAGCTTTCAGATTCAAACCTTATATATTTTTATACTTGTATATACCACCAACAGTTAAAGCATTGGTTACCAGACTCACAATCTCTCACTCGCTCATTCAACCCATCTCATCTGGTTGAGTTGAGTTGTAGAATCTAACATAGATATGTATTCACAAGACTATAGAAACAAAACTGATCACAGAATGAAATATATAAAACAATCTTGATCATATAATTTAGATGGTGGGATTCATAATAAAATATATAGTTTTACTCAGATTGTCGGACTTATGTTTTATGTGATTGGTTTTGTGTTCGTAAACTTATATAGATACTATTTATGTTATTATATAAAAAGTACAATTTACTAGTGTGAACAGTAAGTCACAACTTTTCTCCTTCGAAATTAGTCTCATATAATTGCCCTTATTTAATTGTTGAAATACTCTAGCTACTTTCACACACACGTAGCATGTACCAAAAGCCATAGTGTACAATATATATATAGAGGGGGGTGAGGGGCCAGTTGTGTGCGTAGCTGAGCTGCACTAGAGGCCAATACTGCTAATGCCAACCATTATTTGCTGTGAGTAACCATGTGAGTTGTTCCCATGTGGGCTTTACTATCTTCCATTTCTAGTGTGAACATGTTAAGCCCAACTTCCATTTTGTACATCTTGCACACACATGATCAAAATGGCAATGCAATTTTACCTATATATTTATATATGTAATATTCTTCGAGTTGTTTCCAAAATATTACAATGATGATCAACTGATCAGTAGCTAGAAAATGTAGTTTTAGCTTGGCATCAGAGTTTCTTATATCAACTCGTAGTGGACTTGAAAGAGTGCACTAATGTAGAATGTCATCTATATCTATATATTAAAAAAATTGTGTCAAAATTATCGGACATTTTTCATGGACTATTCTTTAAACGCAGAAAAAGTACTCATAAACCATTTTTACAAAATACATTGGCAGTCCGCTTCAAATAGTGGAGGTTTCTTTTTTTGTGTCTTTTTTTTCCCCTTTAAATTTTCATCACGCATGTTTCATTGGTGTTAATATGTGAGTGGATTTTTTAGAATGATAACCGAAAAATTACTCTTTTTTTTCATGTGGAGTAGGCTGCGTTTGTAAGTAATATTGTAATAAAATCTATGATGATGACATATTTACCAAGAACATGTGGATTACATAAAGAAGAGTAAAGTATTGCAATAATTGCCAAATTGTCGATAGCATATTGAGAAAGGACATATATTTATTTATAGCTATAATAACCTAAAAACCATTTGAACAAAATGCCTTAACGCTGTTTTTTGGTTGGGGGATTTTGGAAGTGATTTGGAATGGGAAAAGGAAAAGGTATATGAAACTATGTGAAATATAGGCATATTTTTTTCACATTTCACCTACCTTTTTCATTTCTCTTTCCAAATCCCTCCTCAAATCCCTCAACCAAACACAGCATAAAAGAACCAGTCCAAAAATTATTCAGAATGAATGATTAACGTGCGATATTACATCAATGTCTGCCACCAATCAGAAGTTGACAAATGTGATCGCGTCAATGCAATGGGATGAATTAATCATGTTACTTAGGTGGAAGAGGAGGATTCATCTGATCTGATTATGTTATTAATTTTGTGCGGCATTGATCATCAGCCATAGCGAGCAGTACCTACCATACCGTATGCCAGTGATCAGTTTGCATTGCAGGCACATATAATTGCAGCGAAGACTACTCTGCTTCTGCCACAATACAATACAATGCTTCCCTTCCCAATTTCTTTTAATGGGACCCAAACTGTTATTTTTACCCATCTTCCTTCTCAGGACTCCCCATTTCACTGCTCCTGCTCTTCTTTGCCATCCCATTACTTCCCTTTCTCCTTCTCACTAGCATGATTTTTATTTTTAATATTATTATTGTTCTAGTTTTTGGAGACTGGACCGTTCAATTCAAACTCATGGGTCTATCCCAAGGCCACATCAATTCAAACTCATGGGTCTATCCCAAGGCCACATCAACAATTCAATCCATTCATCTATTACACTTGTGTGTGTATACCAACTGAGTCATCATTTCACTTCTTTCTTTTTTTTTGTGAAAAATTGACCGTATATTTTTATAATCATACATATATAGTCCCTATAGTTTGTCTTTTATATTTACTTGGTTCTTATATTTTTAAACACATACATCAATTTTATTCTTAAACTTTACATCATGTAATTTACTTCAATTGATATTGTCACTTCGGAAATTGGAGAAAAATTAAAGGACAAACTAGTTTATTCATTCTCAAAAAGGATTGGAGAGTTGACATTAAATAGTCCATTCTCTTTTGAGTGAACTATTTTACCCTTGAATTATATCCAAATTTTTAACATTTGTTATCAATTAAACAAAATTAGTACAATGTGAAAAATAATGACAAAATTGATAAATTACAAGTACTAAATGGATGAATATTGATGCAGTTTAAAGTAGGTGATGGGCCAAACTTTCCCGGGGAGGCACTCTCTTTGTGCAGACCAAGTACATATAGAGTTGCCTCCTTTTGTTGAAAGTAATAATCAAATCACAATGGAAAACTGTGTTGACAGATTATCATCACGAGAGAAAGGCATAGGAACCCCCCACTATGTACAGTAGGGAGTCCTCTTTAAATTCATAATTTGTAGGGTTAGTGGGACACAATTTCATGCTTACCACTCTACAACACATGCTTATGCTTTTTACACATTATTATAATAATTCTTTTTTTTATCTCTCACTTGCTTTAACACAATAATTCAAACTCATCAGACCCAAAATGAATGCGTCCCCAATTTATATTAGAAACATAAATGTTTTAGCCTCTGTGTTGGGTGTTGAAAGCCACATTAACAAACACATGAAGCGAAAGGCCTTCCCAAGAGCTGGAAAGTTAGCTTTATGGGTTTTGCTTAGCTAAAAAAGGGCACAAATAAAGCTGAGAACAATTGGCCTAACCAAACACAAGGCTTGTGTTGCACCATTGATATTAATAATTCAACATATTGCATCTCCATTGGGAATGGAGGAGAGAGACTTATCGGATATAATATAATATAATATATAGTCTTCTTCAATCACATCCCCATATCTACAACTATTCAAGAGTGAAAATGAAAGCAATAAGCAAAGGTTAATGGGACTCAACCCAAAACATAGTTACCAACCCACCACAAAGGCCATCTTGCTGCTACAATCAAAACTGTCTTTTTTTTTTCTTTCTTTTTTTTCATATGTGATGGTGCTGCAGCTGCAAAAGCCTAGAATAAGCCCCCTCTGGCCGGCTGATGAGCTCGACATGACTTCCTTGCTCCACAATCCGCCCGTCTTGTACCACCCCGATGCTATCCACTCCCCGAATTGTTGACAAACGGTGAGCCACAAGCACGGTGGTGCGACCCCTCATTAGCCTCTCGAGTGCTTCTTGCAATTCACACTCAGACTCTGCATCAAGCGCACTAGTAGCCTCATCCAAAAGTAGTATTGCCGGGTCCTTGAGAACGGCACGTGCAATTGCAATCCTCTGTTTTTGTCCTCCGGAAAGCTGAACCCCTCTCTCTCCAACCGGGGTTTTGTACCCATCGGGCAATCCACTAACGAACGAGTGCACGTGTGCTGCCCTAGCTGCTTCGATGACCTCTGCTTCTGTTGCTCCTTCTTTCCCGTATGCAATGTTGTCGAATATGCTAGCGGCAAATAGAGCAGGCTCTTGCTGCACCAATCCGATTTTAAGCCTGAGGGACTTTAGGTTCAACCGGCGAATGTCTTTCCCGTCAATCATGACTTTACCAGCTAAAGGGTCGTAGAATCTTTCGATCAATGCAATTACAGAACTCTTTCCAGAACCACTGGCTCCGACAAGCGCTTGGCTCTGTCCTGCTCGGATTCTAAGGTTGAAATCCTTGAAAACAATCACGTCAGGCCGTGCTGGGTACGCAAAGTCGACGTGGCGAAGTTCAATTTCCCCTCGGATTGATTCAACTGGCTCGGCATCTGGATCATCTGGGTCAATCTTGGTTGAACGGTCTAGGATTGAAAAAACAGAGCCGACAGCTTCACCGCCTCTGATTATCTCGGGGGCAAGGCTAACAGTTTCGGCTACTGAATTGGCTGTGATGACTAAGACCACGAAAACCTTGATAACCTTTGAGAAGGTGGACATTCCTTTGCGAACAAGGTTGGCACCGTACCAGAGAATGAGAGCTTCGGAGGTATAGAGAGCAAGTTGAGAAAGCCCAAAGAGGCCACCAGCAGTAAGGCTTCGGCGAAGGCTTCGGAGCTGTGGGACACGGAGCTCATAGCAGAATAGGGATAGGACTTTCTCTTGAGCATTGAAGGCTGCAACGGTTCGAATGTTGCTCACTCCCTCCCCTGCAATCATGCTTGTCTTGGCATGAGCCTTGGCTGTGTCACCAGCAAACCCTTTGAGAGAGAGTTGCTGTGCAATGTCAAAAAAAATAACGAAATTAACTGTCAGCACACTGTTTAGTCAACTGAAAAAGAACACATTTGAAAGGAAGTTGGGTATTTATGTCATTTACTTATATCATGCTACAGTACCCATTACCTAATTTTGAGAACAATTTGGACATCTGTCATTCACTCATGTCATATTCTAAAAGCTTCAAATTTGTGACCTAAAATTGAAAAACACTTTTATGCTTGCTAGTCCATGCTTTGGGATGTCGGAAGGATTTGAATCCAAGTTCGGGTTTGAGAGATAAAGAATGAATATGATGATACAGACAAATAGTCAGGAAGGTTAATAATAAGAAGCAACAAGTAAAGCAAGAAGCTTTCTTTGCTAACGGGTCCTAAATTCAAGCCCTCTGGCATATGTGGATAATCAACTACTTCATTACATTAATTTACATTGTTAATCTTACGATTTTCCAAAGCTTTTTGAACGAGTTGTACACCAACATAATAAATTGTTTTTCAAATACATGGCAATTTTCAGATTCATTAGAGACGGTCAGAGGAGTAAATTGATGTAGTAATAAAGAGGTAGGTTGGGGGGGGGGGGGGGGCCGGGGCGGGTCCCTCAAGTGTGGACAAGTTGATGACAGTGATATATGTATTTATATATATATTGAAAGCTCGTCCTTTGGGTAATCAATCTATCTCACTGTGCATGTAGCATGCGCAAAATTTAGTACACTTCTGAGCTCTCTCTCTCTCTCTCTCTCTCTTAGCAGCAAATCAAGGACAATTTGTCATCCCTACTGTGCTGCTGTACCCATAAGAAGCAAGAATCTTAAAGCCTCTTGTTCTATTTTGAACCCAATCAGTAAAAGTTAAAACAATTGACACTGTATGAAAAAGCACTCTCATTTTCTATCTTCAAAATCTCGTTGCCTCTCACACTGTTGGAACGTACTAGCAATGTACGAACATATTTCAAAAAATTTGTATTATTCACTACATTGTGTAGCTAAAAATGCATATAGAACATAGAGATTTGGGTACAATAAAATTAAGTAAAAACAAACTCTACAAAGCTAGATTCTGAATCCCTGCCATGGTGCCATGCCACCATGACTGGCTGGCACATCTGACACACTCCCGTGAACAATACAAATGACCACTATAAAGAATAATACAAATGACCACTATAAAGAAGAGCAGAGGAAGAAGAAGAAAAAGAGAGATATATGCCAAAACATAATATATATATATATATATAAATAATACTATATGTACTAATTAATACATTAACTAGTGTACCAATTGATGATTTGACATAATTTAAGAAGTTTTTGATATTTGTAATGTAATTAATGAGTGGGGTCAATAATAATATCATAACTAGAGTTGGTACATTAGTTAGTACACTAATTAGTGCATGTAACACCACCGTATATATATATATATATATATGTTTGTGTGTGTCTAGAATAGTCAATGCATGTTCATATACTGCAGAAACAATATATGTCTGCAATATCTGGCATCATAATAAAATGATCACGGGCCAAAAAATCCCTCGAACGCCTCCCAATGAGAGTCTCTATGTACTCTCTCTCTCTTTCTCTCTCTCCAACCATTTATTTTGGTCTCCAAAATCATACAGAAGACAGGCTGATGTAACACGCATACACTATGATATGCAGTGTCGGTGAAAGGATTAAAAATTAGAAAAAATAAGAGTGGTGATTTATCTCATTAATTTTTGGATCACTAATAATTTTAATGAGCTTAAAAAAAAAAAACAAACAAACTCAAGCCAAAACATCACATTACTTTGGTGGAGGCCACTGTGCCACATCATTAATGATACTCTAGAGCTCCCAATTTAATGTTCTAAAACATTATTCAAAAAAAAATTGTGAGAAAAGCAATGGTTGAAAAGTACCAGAAACCTAAGAATTGACTGGGATGACAAAAGATTCGAAGGAAGGGTTTTACAGCCTCGACCCTAGAGAAAGTATAGTAACTGGAATAAGAAAAAACAGGAACCCTCATTGAAGTCGATGGAATCTTTACTATTCTTTTCTTCACTTTTGCAAGGATCTAAAATCACTTTGATTTCACCATGATTTTTAAAATAAAATAAAAAATCACAATATAATGCACAGATAAAATATTAACATTGTGTTTGGTTAGGAAACTTGTGAAGAAATTTGGAAAGGTAAATAAAGGATGTGTGAAAATAAATGAAACGTAAATATATTTTATTTATATTTCATCAAATTTTTTTTTTTTCTTTCTAAATTTCTTTTCAAATTTTGTAATCAAACACAATGCTTCCGTTTGGGAAGTGGGTTGATTTTTTGACTTTTTAATTTTTTGGATTATTTTAGCCTGAGTTAAAAAGCTTGGTTTGGAAAGGATTTTTTGACTTTTTGATTTTTTTAATTTTTTTTTGTAAAAAAGAGTGTAATGATTATGAGGTGGATGTGATGTTTTATTTGTTGTAACTAAAATAACATATTTTATCTTTTGTAATTATTTTAATCACAAACTAACTTACCAAACAACACCAATATAAATAACCACTCTTAATCCAAAATTCAAAATAATTATGATTCAATACTGATCGAATCCACACACACTACCCAATAATAAATACAAATTGTTCCTAATATATATGTTGCTTATTATATTATATTTGGGGGTGGTATGGTATGTGACTTTCGAAGAGGAAGCGAGGACTAGTGTGCACCGGAATTGGAGGAGGCACGTGTGGTGCACCAGAAAAGTGCCCTGGTGCCACGTTGTTTTTTAAACCTTTTTTTGTCGTTTTATATTAAGAAAAAGGAGCAGGGTTAACATTCCGGAGATCCAAACAAGACCGTGAATTCTGACACGGCGAGAACGAAAGATTAAAACGATAAAATTTTCTGATTTACCGAAAATGCCCTCCTATGACTTTTGGTCCACCCACGCCACACGACAACAACGATACTATACACGTCGTACCCTCACAAAACGGTCCAATTTATTAGTGTTCCCAATCTAATATTTTGACATGTATTATATCTTTTATCTCCTTATTTTCATGTGTCTTTAATTATTAAATGATGTAAAAAAATTTAAAAGACGAGATTCTCTCGACATGATCAAATCCAATTGTAAAATAATGTATTGAGAAAGGGAAAAAAAAATTAAAATAAGAGAGTCCGGAGTTTAATATTTATATATTATGTGATGGGATACTTCATTTAATTTTATTTGACAATGTGATCACATCATTGATCAGTTTAGTCTTTTGTCTATAAATAACACAAATATTGTGCGCATCCGTCACATGATATGTTCATCCCATGTGAGGCACGCCACATCCAGGTCTCTATTACATGGTTAGAATGGAATATTTTCATTATATCATTTAATGTTGTGAAAAAATTACCTTAACGAGTGTAATAATTTTTTTATAATTTGAATAATGATAAATTTATATCCTGTTTTATAGCCTGGATATGTATGATCAATGACATACTAAAAACTAATGCCTAAAAAATATGAGATTAGGATTCGGTAATGAATGCCTCTGCAAATGGTCTTATTGTGTTAATCCAACAGCTTATGTTTGAAATTAAAATAAATTAACACCTACTTTAATGTCATTTTAAAATTAAAAAGGTGTCAATGGGTTGGAGAGTTTTGTGGTTACCTGAGCAAAGTTGGCTAGGACAAGAAGAGGGAAGGTGGCCAAGATGAGAAGGGAGACCCTCCATTCCACCACAAAAGCAACTATAAACGAAGTGAGGAGGGATGTCATATTTTGCAATATCACAGAGATCCTCTCAGCAATGGCCGATTTCACATCCGCAGCGTCTGTAGCTAACCGAGCTGCTACCAGGCTAGAGTTGTGTTCCTCCTCATCGAACCATCCAACTTCATTCCTCAGAATTACTTTCAAAAAACAACAAAAGAACAAAAAAAGAAACATAAGAACACAATCCACAACAGTGCCTTAACTAATATGAACTAGTTGTAATGATTTGTAATAGTAGTACCTGCAAGCATCATCCTCCTCACTCTTGTAGTGAGATTCTCACCCATAATACTGAAGAAGTAATGCTGAATCAAATACGCTACCACCGCATAAAGACCTGCCCCGATATAAATGAAAACATACTCCTTTGTCTTCCTCTCCATGCTTGCAGGATTTGAGTAGTAGAACACCTCGATCATGTTGCTCATCACAATGGCGAATGTGGGACCGATAAAACCGGAGAGAATTGATCCTACAGCTCCCATTATGGAATAAGGCCATTCTGGAGCATTCAGCTTGAGAAGCCGACAGAAGTACCCATCTGGTGCCGGGTTTTTCCTCTCTGTTTCAGCGTTCGAAACCATCTCTATCCGACCATCTGCACCAGTGCTGTATGAATAGCTCAGATTCCTCAAACTGCCCGAGCGCAGGCTCAGAGATTTTGTTGAAAGTGAATGGCTTAGTCGCGATGAGCGTGAACGCCGGGTTGAAGGATTCGCCAAGTCTCTGTTTCCCACCATTTCTTGGAATCGGATTAACGAAGCATATGCCCCGGTTTTCGCGATCAGTTCTTCATGTGTTCCTGTCTCAACAACTTGTCCTTGCTGTATGACTGCAATTGAATCAACGTTTCTTATTGTAGAGAGGCGATGAGCGACCACTACGGTTGTCCTGCCAACCATGAGGCGGTCTAGAGCTTCTTGAACAATGCTCTCTGAACCTGCATCAAGGGCACTCGTTGCTTCGTCAAGGAGAAGGATTTTTGGGTTTTTCAACATCGCTCTTGCAATTGCAATTCTCTGTTTTTGACCACCAGAGAGCTGGACTCCTCTTTCTCCCACCTGGATTTGAGATTAAAACTCATAATCCATCAAACATGATCAAAAACGTTTATAAGTAAGCTTTGTAACTAGACCTAGGAATGTATACCAACCTGCGTGTTATACGCATTAGGAAGCAATGTAACGAAACTATGCGCATTAGCAGCAGAAGCAGCGGCTTCTACTTCGGCCATTGTTGCATCAGGCTTTCCGTAGAATATGTTCTCAAGGATGGTGGTAGCAAACAGAGCAGGCTCTTGATTCACCAGACCAATTTGATCACGCAACCACCTCAGCTGTAGTGTCTTTATGTCAACATTGTCAAGTAAAATTTGCCCTATATAAGTAGCCAATTCAAAAACATTAGTAACATCATTTTTTTTCAATTTTAACATGACAGATCAAAGAAGTCTTGTAATTACCCTGATTAGGATCATAGAACCTTTCCATCAAGGAGACAACAGTGCTTTTTCCTGATCCACTACCTCCAACAACAGCAACTGTCTTTCCCGCAGGGAAGAAAATTGAGAAATCCCTAAATATGATAACATCAGGACGCGATGGGTAGCTGAAGGTTACATCTTTGAACTCTATGTTCCCGTTAACCTCAGCTAAGCACGTTCCATCCAAAGGATCTTGAATTATGGTTGGTTTCTGCTTAATAATCTCCATTAACTTATATCCAGCTGCTTTGCCTTTGCTAAACGCTCCAAGATTCGAAAAAGATTGACCTAAGCTCCTGTAAGAATCAATTTTTTTCTTTTTAATATGTAATCATTATTGGATTTGTTCATCTAATTGAGAAGTTTCAGTCTGAGATCTTACATGCCCCCAACAATGGCAGAGAAGATAGCGGTGAATGCCTTCCCGCCATCTGTCTGTCCGTTTCTGATGAAAACACCGGCGTACCAAAAGACTAGGGCCCATGACATGCATGCTATTCCATAAGTACATCCCAGACCCAAGCCTTTGGCCATCCCAGCCTTGTATCCAAGCATCAATGTGTGTTGTATTGCATCCGAATAGGAATTTAGAGCCTTGCTTTCGCCAACGTACGAGTAAACTGTCCTAACTTGTGCAATGGCCTATCCAAGCAATGTTAAAATCAAACCCTTTATAATCCACAATAATAAACTGAAATGATGCAGAACTAATTACTTAATAAACGAAAACTAAATGGCTATTTTACAAAAATTGCAAAAGCATAATCTAGATCATCTGGTTGACCTACAAAGAAAAAGTACAAAAATAGAGAGTAATTATTCATTAATCCCGGAGTATGGACACGTAATATTCTATAGGATTATGATGGGTGGAAGAAGTGGGTAGGTAGGGTATTGCGTAGGGTGCTTGGGAAATATGCATATTAAATGATAATTGATTAAGGAGTACAAACACATGGTACTCCAGGATTATTGAATTATTGAATAATTTTCCTAAAGATAGAATAGAAGGAAAGGTGAAGGGCCTTTATGATTGTAGCACATGTAAGAGCATCATTCGATCCGCAAAGGGTCGGATAAAGCATAGAGGCTTTAGATAAAGTAGCAAAACAGCAAAACAAAGCAGACAATTGTAATTTGCACGTTGTTTCAATATAAACAAAATACAAATTCAAGAAAACTTCCATAAAACTTCAAAGTAGGCTAACCTGCTCAGCAATAACCCCAGCATTCGCATATGACTCCCGACTCTTGGATGTGAGACCTGTGAGCGTATACGCATACAAACCACCGGCAAAGGCAATTCCTGGAATCACTGCCACACTAAGCAAAGCTAATCTCCATGCTGACACAAAACCAACCACCAGTCCCGCCAAGAAAGTGGAGAGGTAATGGATGAAGTTTCCCACCTAAATTTCCCAGGAAAAAGAAAAGGAAAATCATGCTTTTATTAGAATTCATATGCATATGGAAAAATTACAGGGTTTGTTTACCCAGAAAAGTACTGGGAAAATGAAAATGAAAATGAGAGAGAGACAATGAACCTTCTCACTAATGGCATCTTGCACAAGCAGAGTGTCTGTGGAGACACTGAAAACAATATCACCTGTTCTAGCATCTGTATCAAAGAAGCCAACGTCCTGTTTCAACACTGCCTCCAAATACTTCTTCCTCAACGTACCCACTTGTCTCTCCCCAGAATACATCCAACAAGCAATCTCTGTTTTACCAACAAACAAACAAAAAAATACCCATATGATTTTTCAACTAACACAATTTAAGCCCATTTTACCACACAACTGGATTAGTATTAGTAACAGTGATTGTTAATCAATCTAAGTGGTTAAAATCAACAGTGACAGATAGTGATGTATAGATAATATTAAATACTGATATTAATTGTTGAAAATTGACAAGTGAAGAACAAAGGGCAGAGAAAGAAAAAGACGGTCCACGGACCACGTGCAAATCCCAAACACCAACCGATCCAATGGGGAACTGGCCAGGCACTTGAAAAACTAATCAAAACCCAATTTCATAATTTATTTTTGAAAAAAAAAAGAGTACTAAGATACAGATCAGAGCTCACCTGCGTATGAGGATACGCATACAATCAACCCAAGATAGACGAAATACAAAGCATACTGCATTTAACAACAACCCAAAAACGAATCAGATCTGAGATGTCCAATGAACACAGAAATTGCTTCTAAAAAAAAAACAAAAAAGAGGATTGAGATTGAGATTGAGAACCTTTGATACTTCATGGGTCATAGTTTTCAAATCCAATTGGTTTTTGCCGAAACCATTGACCATTTCGCCGAAGAGAAGAAAGAAGACGGGCATGGAAGAGCCATGAACGATGGCTCCTAAGCTTCCGGAGATCATGAGAGCCCAATCGTACTTGTCAGCGAATGAGAAGAGCTGATAAAAGGGTAAGCTCTGCTCCTTCTTCTTCTCCGCCGCCGGCATTGGTTTCGCTGCCTCTGTATTCTCCGCCATTTTCGCCGCCGACTGATCGAAGTAGATACAACCAACTCTGTATTGGGTCTAGTTTAATGGGTGATCTTCGTTTCTGGGTTCCTCACCATTAGAGGAGAGCGATGTAAGGTCGAGAAGATGTAAAGCAATAAAAACAGAGAAAGGAAGAGAAAAAACAGAGAGAGAGAGAGAGAGAAAGATGGAATGGGGTTGCTTTAACTACTGAGTTTTTGTTTATTGTCTCGAAGAGCTGACATTGTCGGTTGCGGTTTATGAGTTCAAGAAGAGTGAGTGAGTTAGTGAGTCTTTCAGAGGAATCAGAGATGCGTTTGTTTGCCGGAAAGAGAAAGAGAGGGAATATGAGAGAAAATGAAAGAGAAAAAGAGAACAAAAATTATACAAAAAAACAGAGAGAGTGAGAGAGTATGACTAGTGGTCAAAGTAGGAGGAGGAGGAGAGAATGAGCTGAACGAGAGAGTGGTGTGGTGTGCGTATGAGGGTGTACTTTAAAGCGGAGGGCTTAACCATAGTTAGTAAAATACGTCCTTTCCTGGTTAAAATCGGAATCTACTTTTAACTCTGGTCTTTGTGCCGCAAAAATTTTAGTATTTATTTATTTATCTATATTTTTCAATTTTATTTTAATATATACTAGTAATCTGCAAGATGATAATGATTACTTTACCACCTTCTTAGGAGTCAAAAAGGAATAATCACCCAAGCAATGACATGCGTTACTTATGAAATAATTTTTCAGTTATATACAGTCCTCGTTTGGTATGAGAATTTTTTAGATGAAATTGTTATTTTAAGTCCCGTTTGTAAATGGACTTTTCAGGTAATTTTTTATTTTTTTAATTAAAATATGATGTAAAAAAAATTGATGGCCTTGTTTAGTTTGTATTTCGAAAAAAAATTTGAGAAAAATTTTCTACAAATAAGTTTTTAAAAGTAATCAAACCAAACAAATTTTTTCAAAAATTTTTTCCAAAACTTGTTTGGTTTACAAGTTTTCCAAACAAATCTCTCTCTCATACACATCAAATAAATCACTTTCTTCAAAACTCTCTCTCAAAATAATTTTTTAAAACATCTTTTGAAAAAAAATCAAACCAAACAAATTTTCGTACTTTTTATCTCAAAACATGTTTCTCAAATATAAACCAAACAAGCCCAATATGTTTGGACTGATTTTTTAATTTTTCAAGAAAATATGTGTAAAAGTAGAGAAAAATAAAATCTTTGACTTTTTTGTATAAATTATTGGCTTTTTTATTTTTTTTTAGTGACTTTTTGGCTTTTAAATTAAAAAATATTGTTGCCAAACGAGGCCTTAGTCACAAAAAAAATCAAATAACTTAAAAAATTAATAAGGTAAAATGTCACATATAAATTAGGGCAAATTACATATACCTCCCTCGAGGTTTAGCTAAATTACAAATACCCCCTGAGGTTTTAAAAATTACAAATACCCCCTTGAGGTTTATATTTTCATAACAAATTACCCCCTGAGGTTTATATTTTCATAACAATTTACCCCCTAATTTGTTATACAAATAGTACCTTCAGGGGGTATCTGTAATTTCTCAAACCTCAGGGGGGTATCCGTAATTTTGTTAAACCTCGAGCGGGGTATATGTAATTTTCCCTATAAATTATAATCATTTTATTTTTTTCTGACGTCAAAAAAGTCAAAAAAATTCATCACAAACGAAATTTTTTAATCACAGACTAAAAAATAATCAAAAAGCTAAACCATGTGCCAAACAAAGCCATATAGTAATTTAAAATTCTTAATATCTTTAAAATATGAATAATATTATATATACTAATTAATATATTAATTAGTATATCAATTGATGATATGACATAATTTAAAAAAAATTTGATATTTGCAATTTGTATAATGAATATGATCAATAATAATATCATAACTAGTGTTGGTATACTAATTAGTGCATGTAACACTATCGTTAAAATATTACCTTTAAATTTATCTCAACCACATGAATGATAGATTCATTTAAGAAATTAGTTAAGACATAAATCTAAGTGAAACTTTACTACAAAGTTTGAAATATTATAAATATTAATAATTAATATTATAATTTTTTTTCCATTGACCCAACTCTCACTAAGAGTATCTTCAACGGTATATCAATTTTATCATTAAATGTGAGTAAAAATTTGAGTAAAAATGATATCAGGTGTTTCAACGAAGGGTTTTGGCTTTTCATCAAACTACCAATTGACCAAGCGGACGGCCAACCGGGCAATCGACCGGCTAGTGTAATTTTTTCACAAATTTTTGCCTTGAGTTAATCATCCGAGGAGACGACCGAGTGGACATCCAAGGGACATCCAACAACGACAATGAACAATGATCTGATGAGAGAAATATTGGTTCTTAATTTGATGAAAGAAAAGTGAAATTCTCAATTTGATACCTATTTGATGCAACCGTTGAAGTAGCAAAATGAAGTAACCATTAAAGATGGTCTAAGTGATTGTTTTGTTAGAACTAAAAAGAGATTGGCTTCCCTCCAGTACAATCACGGACTGGAGGGTGTTGTTGGGCCTGTGGAGGCCTACTATGGGTCCCGTTTCGATAATTCAAGCCGTTCAATGTGTAAAACTCGTCGAATACTATATATTTGTTAGAAATTATGTCGATTGAATATCAATAGTTACTTAATCAAATCAGTTTTGTAAAAAAAAAAATAGACGGTGAAAATATAAATAGACAACTAAGAGACTTTTACACATTGAACGGTTTAAATTATCAAAACAGGACCCGTGGTTGACCCCCACGAGCCCAACAGCACCCTCCAGTCCAATCACGAACTAGGGGGAAGCCAAACCCAACTAAAAAATACACTTATTTATTTTTTATTTTTTTTAAATCACATCATCTCTTTATTTTTTTATATATCATTTTATAAAAAGTCAAAAAATACTATTATTTAGATCATCCTTAACACTACTATTTGGCATAAACTACTTATTTAAATAAGTACACTGAGGGCTATTTTGAGAAGATGGTAAAAAGTCATCTTCCAGCTTTTAACTCATTTTGAGTTATATCATCTCTCACATTTTTTACACGTTTTAAAAATTAAAAAATAAAAATAAAAAATTAACTTTTAATCATCTACCCAAAATAACTTTTATTTGGATCATATCACATCTTTATTTTTCTATATAATTTTTTTTGTAAAAAAATCAAAACTTTTTTATTGTTAAACACAAACACACATGGAATCCATACTATTGTAAATAATGACAAAAAAAAATTAATTGATAAATTTATTTATATATAACGTTTTTTGTTTGCACAATAAATGCGTCTCCACATTGATGTTAAAATAGCACTTTATTGATGTCATAATAAATTGTTTTTTACATTTCTTAGAAAAGGAAAATGTTATGAATTTTAAATAAATTATTAAATTTTTTATTAAATTTCTCACATGGGTGTAGGACTCACACAAATCACATGTGTGGATCTCACACACATGTGAGAGGTTTGGTAGAAAATTTTAGTAATATATTTAGGATCAAAAATGCTAGAGGTCCCAAAAATTCTACCAAAAGTTTTACCAAATGTCTCACATGGGTGTGGGACCCACATGGGACCCACACTGTGTGGGTCCCACACCCATGTGAGACATTTGATAAAATTTTTAATAGAATATTTGGGATCTCTAGCATTACTCATTTAGGATTCCTAATATAACTCTTCACAAAAAATACTAAATGAAAATGATAATTATGAAGAATAATAAATAAATATAAGAAAATAAAGAGATTTTTAACAAATTTTAATAATTGCCAGTTTGACATTGTGTTTGATACTGAAAACGGTGGTGCTACATGCACCAATTAATGTACTAACTAGTATACCAATTGATGATATGATATAATTTAAGAGGTTTTAGTATTTGTAATTTATATAATGAGTGAGGTCAATAATAATATCATAACTATTGTTAATACACTAATTAGTGCATATAGAATTATTCTACTAAAAATAATGAGTATTTTTAATCTACAATGTTTTTAGAAAATTGCTTTAGAGCTCTAAAACAGTGGCTCTAAATTAGCATTAAATTGTCTTTTTCCTTCCCTTATTTTGTCTTTTTTTTTTTTTTTTTTTTTTTTTTTTTTATAAAGTGGTTGCAAGCTCAGTAGAGCTGCTGTTAGAGCAGCTCTACTAGAGCTCTCAATCAGAGCCTATGTTTTTATTTATCTCCACAGACTATAAAATTTTATGAAAATGATGAATATTTTTTATTTTGTCTTTAATTTTTCATCAAATTAGATCTTTTATATTTTCTCAAAGAAATTAATATGAAAAAGTTATATGTATTTGGAGTTTAAAAAAAATAAAAATAGGTTGTTGCTTGCTAGAGTACCAGAATCATGGTTATAAATGGCGAGCCCGAATTCTCGGCTGCACTCCCCTGCGGCGTCTCCCTGCCACCCTTCAAAACGACGTCGTTTTGTAGGTTTTTTTTTTTTTTTGGTTCTCTCTTTGCCCTATTTCTCTCGCTTACCTTATCTTTCTCCTCATCTGAACTATGGAACCCCCACCTTTTCTAACAGCTCCCCTCCTCTTTTTCCCGTAGCAACACCTCTTATCCAAAAGTCTCTCTCTCTCTCTCTCTCTACTCAGATCTCTCCTTCTGATATTGTTTGATGTTGTTGATGATGTTGATAATGTTGTTTGTCATGTTGATGATGTTTGATGATGTTGTTAATCTCTCTCCCTCTCAGTTTGTTTTTTTTTTTTTCTTTTTTGGTCTGGGAAATTTCGGGGCCGGGGAAACCCAATCCCTGTTAGGAGGCGGGGACGGGGGCGATGATAGGTTCCGCGTCGGGGATCGGGGCCGAGGACGGGAAAAATTTTACCATCGGGGATCAGGGACGGGAAGTGTAATCCCTGGCCCCGCCCGCCCCCGTTGCCATTCCTACTGCCACACCCCTTGCTTGTAATATTGATCATTGTTAGATTATTATTA